ACTGCGGACTGGGTTCTGGCCCTTTGCAGATGTCGAGGACCCGAAGAGCGTACCGGTAGGAATTGTAGAGCGTGCGAAGGGTGCTCCTGAATTGGACGATGAATCGGTCGAATTCCTTAGACGGCAATGTGCTGCCGAGATGGGCCTGGACCGATACTCCGAAGCGTTTGGGGACCAGCTACTGCCTGGGATGGTGGCGCAACCTATTTTTACGGTACCGAAGAAAGGCTCATCGAAGCTGCGGCTTGTCAACGACCATAGCGCAGGGGAGAAATCCCTGAATTCGCTGATCCCGAGTGAAGGCGGGTATGTAGTCCTGGACAATCTAACTGACCTTGGGACCAATATCCGTGCCGTCATGAAAGAGAATGGAGGAAGGAGGCCAGCTCTTCTCTGGAAATCTGACGCATCTCAAGCTTACCGACGGCTACCAATGCACCCACGATGGCAGGCACGGCAGGCAACACTGATTGACGGGAAGTACCATGTGGACCGATGTGCAGTCTTCGGGAATCGGGCCTCTGGCCGGCTGTGGTGCTTGTTCTTCGGACTCGTATGTTGGATTGGAATCCATGTTTGCGGGATACGAGGTCTACTTCACTATGTCGATGATGCATTCAATGCAAGCTTCGACAATGAACTTGAACTTTATCCCCCATACAATAGGGAGTTACCACGAGGCCAGACAAGATTCCTTAAATTGCTCGACCACATCGGAGTCCCACACGAGTCGGCCAAGCAACTCTTTGGGACCCAGCTTGAAATCATAGGCTTCCTCGTTGACGCAGAGCAACTCACGATATCCATCTCAGAAGAGGCAAAGGGAAGATTCTGCGCTGCGATACGAAAGTTCGTCCTTGACACCCCGGACAATCTGCGAAGGCAACCTCTGAAGGACTGGCTGAAGACCCTTGGGTATGCGAACTGGGTCCTCAACGTATTCCCACTTCTCAAGCCGGCGCTGAACTCGTCATACGAGAAAATCGCAGGGAAGCGGATGATGAATCAAAGCATCTATATAAACAAGCAGGTACGAAATGACCTACTATGGTTTGCTGATTCAGTAGAGCAGATGGAAGGAGTTCGCATGCTGAACGCCGAATCATGGGGGCCAAGCGATGCTGATGTGGTTGTATGGGGAGATGCCTGCAAGATTGGGCTCGCATTCTGGGCACCGAAATACAAAGCTGCGTATATTGGCGACCCGGTAACCCAACCTGACGAGGCATTCAACATATTCTACAATGAAGCTATCACAATACTCGCGGCACTCCAATGGTCTACAACAATATCCCCCCCACTGAAGCGACTCGCAATCTACACCGATTCGACAAACTCACTGAACATTTTCAACTCGCTCCGCGCGACAGACCTGTACAACCCAATCCTCATGACGGCTGTCTCGACACGGATAGAGCACAACATCGACCTCCGCGTCTTTCTAGTGGAAGGGAAGCGGAATGTTGTGGCAGATGCACTGTCGCGACGCAATTTTGAATTGGTGAAAGGTATGTACCCGAAGCTGGTCATCAAACACTTCATGCCTCCGGCGCTTATGAAGCTGGGGGCATTGAAGAAATGAATGATCAGAGGCGCTCCAAGACCCGTCAACCACAGCGCGAGCCTTGGTCCCTGGAGCGCTGTTAGATACTGATCCGGGGTTGGGCACCGAAGGTTGCCGATGCGGACCGCTAAGGGCCGCGATGGCCGCGATGCCTCAGACAAGGCCCGAGGGTAGGGCATTTGGCCTCAGCAACTCTAAAGGGAGTGCTGTGCCCCCTAGTTGTCTCTTGGCCCTCATTTCGAACTTACTGGGGCTGCCTTGTTGGGGTCAGGGCTTGGGGTCGTGGTCAAGTCGATATTAGAGCTAAGGTACTATAATGTAGTATACAGGATATATATATGAAGGTGGAATGAATAGAAGCGGACCCGGGCCGAAGGCCGAAGGGTCCGGAAGCAAATAGGAACAAAGAGCGGGGTTGGCCGCACCGCGGCCGGCAATGACCGAGGGTCAAAACAAACAATAACAGATAAATAAACGAAGGGGTGTAGGGCCGCGATAGCGGCGATGGTATCATAGCGGAGTAGGCGATATCGCGGAGTCACGCTAGGTCGGTACCAGAGGCGGACTCGGGGCAGGGAGGTCGGTGTGGCTGTGGGGGAGTCGGCCAAGTGTAGGGGAGCCTAGGGGCAAGTGGGGGAGTGAGCAGGGAGCCCTCAGGGAGGATAGGGCTGAGGTTGGGGCTCGCGCTCACGCTCGCATAGCGGTAACGGGCTCGGGCGGCATCGGGACGGGCGGCTAACGGGCCGGAATGCACGGCCGTGACAAGCGCCTCCGGGAGGCTCGAGCAGCTGCCCTGGGAGCCGCTCTTGAGCCTAGCACTGCTCGTACCTATATGTCAGCGCTAATGTCTTACATCAATTTCTGCGACCTCCACCATTTCCCACTACGACCAACGATCGACACACTCACCTTTTACATCGTCTACATGTGTGCCCACATCCAACCAAACTCGGTCTCTTCGTATCTTTCAGGTATATGTTCGGAACTTGAAGCATACTGGCCGGAGGTCCGCGACACTCGCAACTCAAAACTCGTCTCGAGAACTCTAACTGGATGCTCCAAAATGTTCCGCACTCCAGCTGTCAGGAAGAGGGCTCTAACCGAAAGTGACTTGCGGACCGTTCTACAATCAATCCCACCTCAGCCTTCACATGACGATATGCTCTTCCTTGCAATCACCTTCACAGGATGGCACTGCCTCATGCGGCTTGGCGAACTAGTGGACAGCGACTCGGGGGCACTGCGCAACTACCGAAAATCAATAAGAAGATCTTCAGTTAGATTCCACTCCGAACCGCAACCTCACTACGCGTTCATCTTACCAATGCACAAAGCGGACAGGCTGTTTGAAGGCTCAACGGTCGTGCTAGAGAGACGAGACAGTGACTTAGACCCCCTGGGAATCTTCGAACAATACCTGAACGCTCGAGACTATCGATTCCGACACCTCCCCGATTTATGGCTGCGAGACTCAGGAAAGATCCCCACCCGGTCCTGGTTCTTGGGCAGACTGCAAGGAGTCATCACGACGGGAGATGTTGCAGGCCATTCCTTGCGCTCGGGTGGTGCAACGGCGTTAGCACTTGCAGGTACTCCTTTGGAGCGGATACGCGCTATTGGAAGGTGGTCTTCAGAAGCTTTCCTGATCTACCTGCGCCAAAACCCGATACTGATCCAAGGCACATTGGGGGGACGATCAGCATTCGACGGCCAGCGTGCAGATCATTGAGTCTAAGTACTCACCACCAACCACCCCTCCACCAGCCATTATACGTGTACAAGTTACGGCTCGCATCGCTGGCGCACAATCATACGCATTGCAGGTCCATACGGACCGTGTCCACTAACTCATGGACCGCTCACGGAACCGAACTGATTAGTCTCAGTTTAATCCCATTTCACGTGACTAATCAGGTGGATCCGCGCGCGCCTCAGAGGAGGCCGTCTTGTTCTGCACTGTCGCAGTGCGGATGGAACAAGACGGACGAAACCCTCCTCCGGGCCCAAACTTGGTCTCAGACCAGCTGCGGGAAGAGACAAGTTGCATCCGGGAGCGAGATAAATAGCGCAACTTATCCACTCCCCACCTGCCTGCGCAATCGTACTACAACGTCTAACTGGTAAGTTAACGGTAGTGCGATGAGGCTTCTAACCGTGTGTGCTGGCCCCGCTCCTCAGGCCTGCACACGGTTATCCCTGCTCTCGCTATCCACTAAACGCGCGCTTACTCTTACTTTCATAGTTCTTAACTGAATCTCCGCGCTTCCCACCTCCTTCCCCATCGCCTCCGTTGCGCTACATCATTTTTTCACTTGCTACCCTCTCCTGCATTTACTATTAATGTATTTAATTGACGTACGGCTCGCATCGCTGGCGCACAATCATACGCATTGCAGGTTATCGCCGGACAGTTTGTTACGATGCCCTCAATCTCCATTTCATCCTCTGGGTACATTCACCGGGTCAGCACATTTGTTACTATTTGCGATACAATGGATGTTTCCTTGCGCAGATTGCTTCTGTCTTTCTCCGCTTTCTTCCCAACCATCGCCCTTAAAATTGCCGCTAGTAGAAAAATCTAGAGACTCCAATCCCTTCTTCTCGAGTTCACCTTCAGCGGGGAGGGGTTTCGGTCCTTTGCAAGTTGTACGCTGTGTATTCTCACGTCCGGGTCCCTCTCTGGATCACCCAGGATTTCAGTTTGAGTATACAGAATTCACCCGTGTCAGAGGCTGGTCCCTATGCTCAAGACATTGTTCGCCCAGAAGGACCCCTAACACAGCATGAAGTGCGCACTAGAGTTGGCTGTCAGTCCCGTCTCCGCAGAAACCCAGACAAATTCGTTCAATGCTTATCCAACTAGTTGGTATCATTCCTTGGACATCCGCGCTCAACACCAGAATCAGTCGCCTAATCACCCAATGGTAGGTCTTTTACTCACCTCCCGCTGATCAGCTTCCATCCGCGACCCCTATCATACGACCCAACGAACACCGGCGAGATGAGTCTGTGCTCCACTAAATTGATAAGGTACGTATCACAGGGCGAGATGGCGGGAGGCGGTGTTAATGATCTGTGGGATGCCGTCCGCATAGCGTACGATACATGCTACCACCACGGCTTGTATCTCAACAAAAACACTCAGTGGAGCAGTATTATCCACTCCAAAGAATAGCCCGCGATGTTCCTTTAGTATAGAAGCTGGTGAATAATGTCATGATAAGCAGTATGACCTTGTTTGTCTCTCACCGGGAAGCGTGAAGCTGGAAACTGTTGAGGTGACTTTCAGGGACGCTATATGATAGCAAATAACTGGGTATTGTTCATGCGGTATGGAATGACCATGGCGTCGACCCGGGAATGATGCAGAGCTCGGACAGAAACGAAAGGATGTGCCGCACCAATTCGGAAATTGGCATTGCGATTTCAGAAAATTATGGAAATGAAGGGGCTGACTGGCGGTAGTCAGAAGCACGGAGGCAGACCAATCCATTGGGTGAAGCCTGTCTCTTACGCCTTTCCAACAACGGGGAGTCTCCCAAACGAGAGACCCCCGGAAAATCTAAGGAGCTCTTTATTCTTCTACACACACCTTGACACGTACGTAAATTGTGTGCCGAAGGTGGAAAGTGGAACAGCCACCGAGGGACCGAGACTGGTCAGTTCCGACGGGGCTCCTATGACGAAGATCCGTAAGTTGAAAGCGAAAGCGAGATGTCCAGAAGTGGGTTCGGCAGGCTTATCGCATAGGGGAGTTAAACAATATTACCAATGAATGTGACAAACAGGCTTTGGCTTAGGAATGGACAGACCCGCTACGGAGGAGCAGGAATTTCAGGGCGGCGGCGTCAGGATCCGCGTCTCCGCGTCGGGAAATTGTTTTCGGGAAAATGATAGAAACTCTCGTGATGTCATTCGGGGCCGAGCGGGAACATTAATAGCCTTCGGTTGTTCGAGCAAGCTTGTTAACCAAACCCCCTAGCCCCTGAGCTTCGAGTCTTTCCGAGTCTCGGGAAGCAGGATCCACGGAAGAGCAGCGGCCTCTGGCATTGAGATATTCAAAGTAGAAACTTTGAGTGGGTTTAGTTGTATTGTTGACTCATGATGAGATAGTTGAAGGTGAATTTAAATATTGAATATCATCTGGAAAAAATGGGAAAGGAATGCTGTAAGTATTTCCAACCGAGCCGAGGAAAGGTTGTAGACGCATCGGCAGCTGTGGGCCGTGAGAAGGAAGATATGTATGAATGGGGTTGGTAGTGGGGTTGGGACACGGGGGAGACACAGAACATGAAGGAGGAATCGCGTTTTACGTACACGAGTGGGTGGTCTAAGCCCCTGAAAAGAGGGAACTTGAAGATCTCGTTGGATTACAAGTCATGCTACCGTTCAGGCAACATGTCCCGCTAGCGTGCAACATTCCACACACGCGACACCGCCTCCCCGATTGGTCCGTGCACCGATCGCCTTGTAGCACAGCCTCGCTGTACTATAAAGACGCCGTAGTTAAAATGCAACAATAACAATCGGCTTTGAATTGGCTTTGGTACTTACGTTATTACTCGAGTGCAACCGTTGAGCGCCCAAGTTGACTCACAACAACAAATCTAATCGTCTGGTTACAACGTGCCGGACGTAGTAGGCTTTAAGCGCGCATGCACGTATGCAGCTCGGTGAAACGGTATTTGCGTGAGTTAAGGTCCATGATCGGGAGCGTATATCGAGGGAGTGTCCAAGTGGGTGGACACAAGTATACGATAACGAGTTAAGGGTCCTCGATCGCTTTGCCCATCCTCAGCATTGAAGAGTCTGGGTCAGCGTGCAAAGTGCTGACTGTTTGTTTATCCGGTAATGAACAAAGCGCCAGTGGAAGAGAAAGTCTGGAGCATATCGTGCTATATTAGGTGGTGCCAGGAAAATCCTCTCAGGGAGGACCGATGTCGAGCTATTCAAAGTGGGGACCTTTCGTAGTTTCCCTGGGTGATATGTCGACAATGCAACATTGGAAAAGGCGGTCATTCAGAGCCCACACATGTTTTAGCTATCCGGTATATTGGTGCCTTGTGGTCGCATTTCTGGTGAAGAGCGATGAGCCGTTGTGACCATTCCTTGTCAATGATGCGATGGAACATTCATCCTGTCCAAGGAAAAGGAAATTTGATTCAGCGGAACACCTTTACGAGAACGATCATTCTGCAGCCCGCCACTGTTGATATGACCTAGTTTTCCAGTATTTGGAGGTTAGTTGATTAGCGGCAGGAACGTCCGAAGGACGCGACCCGTGACGTGACAACCTTTCCATTTGCGTCACTCCATTTCGGTGCATACCGTACTAGGTAACTGCAATTATTTGTATTTCATCTGTGGGGAGTCAGCCGCTTCTCGTCACTGGCCTCCACCAACAGATCTCCTTATGTAATCGAGGCTGAGTGATTACCATATATCACCAGCGCACTGACAATGTTGTTACACCAACAGGCCCCCAAAAAGAAGTCGTCGGAACCCCAATCTCTCATGACCAATCAAATGGGTATCTGTTTGCTCCGATCGGCCAGTCGAAATGAGGGATTTCAAATTTTGCGTAAGTCAGCTGTTGCAGCCGTTGAAGCCACAATATTGTTTCCGAGTAGATCGAGCGAGCTGCGCATTGGAATACTGCTGCAACATCTGGCTGTGCATTTGATTGGTGGGATCGGCGGTCTCTCTAACCCGGGAGTAGAATGAAGTTGCGGCTGGGCGCGTACGTTTCATTCTTCAAGTTGCACCGGATAGATTTGATGACCGAACTACGCCACCCACAGCGCAATAACAAGTAGCTGCGGCACAAACCATGAGATACACCGTTTTGTTATCCGCTGCTGCTAGTTGTTGAGCGTCTGCTTTTTTGCCATGGTTCTGTCCCGCGGATCCACAAAACATGATGCCAAGGATTAGGACATTTGAATGTTTTCGACCAATTCTCGATCATTTAGTAACTAGAGATAATTCCCTGATTTGCTCTCAAGGTATTGTACGGAACGGTGCCACATTAAGCCCTATACTCGGCAGGGCTTCCTTACTTGGATTTCCATCTCTGCTTTCTTTTGCTGCCCAATACCCTCAAATCGGTGCCGCCAGTCAAAAAGCTGGGAGTCTTCCCCTAACTCCACTCTTCACTAGCATAACCTGACCCCCTTTCTAGGCTCTTCTCAAGCTAATTTCGGGCCCTCCTCACCTTTACACGCGGTGTACATCCATCTCTCCTCCGGATCATACAGTGTCATTGACCTTTTTTTTACATCACATCATGCTCTATATAGGACTCAGCGATTTCCGTACCTTCGTCCTCGACCCTAGCGTTCCACTTTCAGGACACCCAGCTTACGCATGCCTGAAGAAGTTGGTCACCATGCTCGAGGCATTTCCAATCCAGACAGACTCCTGACGCAGCACAGAGTGTGTACTGTTTCGTGGGGTTGGACCCCCCCAGTTGACTAACGATCCACATTCATGCAGGAATCACCAGGAAGTACTATCACTACCCAAAGCCCTGAGAGCAGCGAGTTGACGGGACGTGGCAATGTCTCTGGGGGCGACCAGCAGACTACAGTAGTGAGTGCGACTTCCTCGCTTCACTCTCAATCACCAGATACAATTGCGAGTACCAGAGCCACGCGCCCATCCCTGCAGAAGACCGGCCAAACTCGTCTGGCTCTCCTCATCCAGGCAAGCAGTTCCCATGATTCCTTGAACGTTAGCGCTCATGATTTGAATCAGTGGGCAACGTTCCTGATAGCCGATTTTTTACTCCGTTCCCCGCGCAGCAGCTTTCACCCACAATGTCTAGTGCATGGCTCAACGGACATGGGCAAGACGAGTCCCTGCCTCATTAGATTGAACCGCGTAGCTACCATGTAATTAGATGGGAAGTCAGTAAAGTTGATCAAGTTAATATCTGTTTTGGCCACCATGAGGGCAACTGTATTGGGTGTCCCTGCCTCAGCCATGGGAGAGAGTTTCGAGATGAGGGCGGTATGAGGGCGAAGTTACGTATTGTTCCCCTTCGGGCGATATCCAAATCGAGGGTTGTCCATCAGTCAGTTGTGGGGGGACCCAGGACACGCGATAAGACCCACACAGTTCCAGAGTGCAACCGGAACTTCGCGGTTGACGAGTTTACTCTTCCAGTTCGAGAACTGGCTCCAAAATTAACCAACTAGCAGAATTTCGGACCGAGACCCGGAAGCCCTTCTGCTGGTCCTCACCAGCGCTTGTAACCAAACAAGTAGACTGTATGGAAAAAAATGAGCAGAGGGCCGACGGATCACATTTGGAACATATGCATTGGGACGAAGTGTCGAGATGTTGTCAAATCCACGTGGTTTAAATGAATCCCACATAACATATGGGCGATACTGATCCAGATCTTCGCTCCAGTAGAAATCGGGAATTAGAAAAGCAGCCAGGGGGTATAGCACAATTGAGAGGAGCAATGTACTTCAACAAATTAACTGGCGATCCTCATGTAAGTTGTATCAAAAGCAAGCGAACAATGCAGCAGCTAGTAAGCAGATCGATCCCTGTTTGTCTTCCACATAATGTAATTTCTTAGGACCGGGCACCGGGGGATGCTTGTGTGTGGTTCATGAGCTGTAGGGTGGCGCCGTCCAAGAAAAATGATGCAGAGTGAAAGAAACGTCGATTTCTCCATCACGTGGCATGCTTGGTCAGCTACAGCAAACCCGATAGCCTCGGGGTCGACATCACTTTATGTGCTTTGCCATTTATTGAATAAGTACATCTGGTAACTGAATCTGATGTCGTGATGTTCAACCAAAGTGAAATCTGAATGCATGCGGAGCAGTTTGAGGTACACCACGATTGAGTCTTTACAGGGCCACTGAGTTCGCCACCATCACTATGATTTTCAGATTTACGACATCACCATGGGCAGTAATTCGCACCATCACGCTCCCTGGGGTTTTCCAGGCATCACGGCCGCGGAATTGTAGGCCAGAGCGCTGGAGGGTAGCTCGAATTCTATAGCTAACCGCACATGAAGCTCGTGAATTGCAGTCTTCCTGATGGAATCTCCGCCGAGTTAGGGATACTGATTCATTCCTTGTGATTTGATTGACTGATCATCATCGATTTCAGCATCTGCTAGCACACGAGACACAAAACCCCAGTTTGGGCCGTTTTTTAATAACCGGCCGATGCACACGTGGTACAAAACACGACAATATGGTATCAATTCAAGGCATGGACACTGAATGTTCTTCCCCATTCGTAGATCAGAAGAACGTTAGCGTGATCGCGTGAATTAACACCAGTGTTTCGCCAATGATTGACCAGACGATCACCACCAAGCAAGAAAGGCATTCTCCAGCGGGTCCACCGCTCTGCATATGTACATATGGATGGCTCATCGTCAGACCCCAGAATGGTAAATCGTGCCTTAACAGCGCCCGACCCTGCAATCTTTTTCATTGGCTCTCATCAGAGCTGGCAGATCATTCCACTAACGAGGAGCTAATCCGATCCGATCTCCGGAAGGGGGTCAGTGAAGCAAGGAATCTCAGCAGCCACTTTCTTCCTCCATTCCCCCCTTCCAACCATGAACGTTACAATGGTTGTAACACGAAATCCGCTACACTCCAAACCGGTCTCCTAAAGCTCCACTGGCTCAAGGGGAAAAATATTGCATACTTGACTGGAGGCATAGCTGTGCAGAGATTACAGGGCGCAGTGTACCAGCGCGGAAGTCCCGCGTTCTGTAAGTAAGTATCTCCAGAACGCTTCGTAAGCCCTCAGCATCTTCACGAGAGTAAGGAGCACCCACGCCCCAGCACCATCTTCCCAAAGGTGGGCAGTTGCTGGCGCCTGTGGTTGTTCCCGAGCACTCCGGTGCTCGGCGTCTTAACATGGGTAAGGGGTGTGGCGGGCAATGAGGAATCGCTCATGTTGTGGATGACAACCGAAAACTGGAATGCCACATCCCTAACAGATCAAATGCCGAGACCAAGGCAGCCAAAGCATCGACAGGAGCTAGGGGCAGAATCTCATTCTCTCATCTCTTCCACCAAGGGCGAAAGACATGAGCGATCCCTCATTGCCCGCCAAGAAATCATAGGACGAACTATCCATTCACCAAACATCCGTGGTGCGCGTTGAAAGTCAAGAGATCAAGCCTACCGTAGTCCCAATAATGGTGCCACCTCGTGTAGATCTATAGGACTTGGTTCATGCTTTGCCACCCCCCCATCCAATTGATTAGATAGCTTTGTTGGAGATTGTTCAGGGCATAAACATTTATTGAAAAGAGCACTCATTTCGGGAATCAGATTTAGGGCGCAGGGCATCGGGTAAGCCGATACCACTCGCTGCAGCTAGCGCGGACAGCGCATCGAAGAAACTGACTGAAATTAAGAATCCCAACGAGCATTATAGACCACTGATGCTAAAGGCTGGCGAGCGTTAGGAATACGGCGCTACAACCGCACGTCGTACAAAAGACCCAGCTGGAAGGGTCTGCCACATGCAACTGGCAGAGTGCCCCCAGTATGGTGTAATTGAAGGCTCGGATCCTCCTGCAGACTGGACCGGTGCGAATCCTATCATTGAATTGGGGACGTGAGAAGATGAAGAGAGAGAGGTGTCTCGTCTAATCGCTGTAGTTATAACGTTGTACTGCCTCAGCTCAAACGCTAACTAAGACACTCTCTACCGGCTTGGTTTGGCATGGAGGGGACCCAATAGAGGGGCAGCGCAAGGACCACTGGCATTCTGGCCTGAGCTAGGACGGGTCCAAAAAACAACCGCTGAGATTACTCCGTCACATCGCTGCATCAATATTGCACGCTCGATCATCCAATAGAGGACAAGGCTGGCGGGATTCCCGTTGTCGTGTGACGCCTCGCATGTTTTGAGTGGAAGATGGGCTTTTGTGAGGAGTTGTCCTGTCCAGCGCTAGTACGCATAGTATTGTAGTAGTAGTAATAGCAGTAGTAGTAGTAGTAGTAGTAGATGTACGTCTTTAAGCCGGTCGGCTACAATGTGATCAAGGAGGGTGTTTGTAAAAGGGTGGTATCGAAAGCATAACGGTGTGGTCTCGAGGTGATAGATCTCGGTTTCTCGGATGTAAAGTGGGCAAATTGATGTAAGGGGGAAAAGAGATATGATGGTCGGTTCACGGAAGAGTGGTGAGGTGAGTTCCTAGCATCCTTGGATTGAGTGCTCACGTGGAGATCCAGAAAAGTAGGGGTTGTCTTTGATTCAATGTAAGTTTGGCCAGGCTCGATCAAGAGGGGATGTAGTTGTTGAAAAGATTTCATCATCATCATCGCAGGGAAGGAGCTTTGGGCGGCCATTATGGATGCGCATAGTGCGGATGCGCTGTGGAAGTCGCGCGGGTTGCTGTGGTGTGCACGCTGCAGTGTGATACTAAGCGAGGATGGTGGTCGGCGGTTCCTACTGGCGGGGTAGAAGGGAGATGACTGTCACGCGGCGTTGGGTTGTCCTTGCAGGGCCTGGCCATGTCACGAAAGGCAGGATAAATAGACAGCCAAGAAATTTTTAGCGCAATGCTGGAGGCCTCCATCTCATGTATAGAGGCCTTGGTTGCTTACTGCTTTGAGGAGGATGCTGATTGGAAATGGGAAGCATGTCCGATCCGACGCGTGTACCACCACCCACGTCGTCTACTCGCTTACCAGTGGACGCATCTTCGAGCCTACAGTTCCCAGTACCACATTGGGTTGAGAACTGGCCGCCTGGACTACGTCAAAGTAAGGTGTTCCTGGATAACGTGACAACACTCATGAATAAGCGGTCTGTGTCACATGAATGAATGAATGAATTCATTGTATTGTACGTCCCTGTGCTTGTCGGCATATGCCGTACATACGTGAACCAAAGACAAAGTGGAGGAATGGTATGTTGATTGAAGAAAGGTGTTGTGGGTCAGGACGGTGTTGCGACGCGATGACCGCAACTGTATAAGCCAACAGTTACTAGCGGCATGGGCCCTGGTTATTGAACGACCGGACATACGTCTACTGCTGCATCAAGTGTGAGTCGAGGTACGCCTTATCTGGAATGACCCGCGAATGGAATGTTTATTCAACTTATTGCAGCTGCCTCTTCCGAACCCCGAAACATCCCTGCGTGTAACAGTTATGGCTATTGATCATATGGTATGGATGTTCCGCGGAATCCCTGCCTCGTGATATGGAGGACCGATTTTGGACACGGGTGCGGACAACAGTGATACGCAATTTTCAATTGCGACTGGCAAGACTGGAAATCATCTCGCGTATAGGCACAGCCAACACCAGCAAGTGAATACTTTCGAATCGGTTGGTGGGAGGATACTCCGCGTTGATCTTTTCAACTTCCGTTGTAACACCGCGTGCATGACACGGACACGACGATAAGGCATTCGGTCGCAAAGCCGCAACACAAGCAGCTGCGGAGTAAATCACGCAGTAGTATATGTAAATGAGTGCAGGCCTAGAGGCGTTGGTGTTCTTCGGCCTTTCCCCCTTGCCTTCGCTTACCTCTCATCAAATGATAGCAACTATAAATTGCTATCCGATGCACGTTCATCCCAAAGAGTCAGCATAGCATGTCCAGAGGATACCCTTTTCCAATCCAATAAGTACCATTTCTGCAGCATTTATCGGGAATTGGGCGACCCAAAGTGAAACTTTGTGGTAAGGATTAATCCTCCTTGCCTCATGTTGATGTCTCCCAGCGCAGTTCCGTACACAATGCTGCAATGTCACGCTTGCTCCGAATTCCGCCACTCAGTTCAGCTTCCCAGAATATACCAGGATGCGAACAGCATCAACGAGGTGCCTGGGTATATCTGATACGTCAGCTCTCAATGGCACCTTTCCCGATGGCTCGTAGCGTACGTGGCGGCTGCTCCAGGTGAGTTCTGTAGTTGAACTATCCCTAGCACCTATATCCAGCTGAAACGTACTCAATTCCTGCTGGGGATCCCGCATTATCTCCATCCATAAACGAAGCGGCTGCAATATTAGAGCCAAAGAAGTTGAATCAGTAGCGATCACACCGCCTGCGATCCTACGAGCCTAGGCGAGCCAGAGTGAGAACATCTGCCAGACCTATGTTTTTAGATCTGGCGACCCCACTATTATATTGCGCTGGATGTATTCTAGCCTGACTGCTTTCGGTCCGGGTGGAGCTGGTGGGGTGAGAGTATACAGAAGCACGAGGCCGCCAATCTCATCGTTCCTAGGCTTTATTCGGGCACTTTAAATGGCTCGAGCGCAAGCTCCTCAAAGCCCAGCACTATCCGTTATGGCAGGAGACGATGAAAGACATTGCCCAACCATCCCAAATTTGGACGCATCGCCTCGGCCCCACATTTACGAACTCCGCGCAACCGAAGCCAATTATTTCTTTTCAAGTTGCATGTGCCTGATTACGACTCAATTCAGTGGTACAATGAATCCCGATCGATCTTTACTTCTCTTGGTGAGTCCAATCAGAGTTGTTGCAGACATTTTCTTTTTTGTGACGGAACGAGATTGGCGAGAGATCCCAGGTCAATTTGTCGCTGTCCCGGACCGCTGCTTTTGCATTTACCAAAACTCCGCCCGTTTGGGCTTCTTGAATCTTCGGGGCTCTGTATGCTGGTGCATTCACCAACAATAGATGTCAGAGAATGCGTCCCGAGAGGTTCTTCCGATGAAATGCAATAGTCCAGACATTCATATATATACGGCAACTGATACGTACGTTGTTGCACTCCAAGGACACTACAATGAAACGTGTTCCCTTAGATACGTTTACCACAAGAAGCAATTCTCAGAGAGGTTGTTCTGGTCTCGCCTGGTTCAGGATTTTCTGCTGTAAGCAATCTGTGATAGGGCGTTTCCATGCCAATTTTTTTGGCTCTTCTGCGGAGTTGGGATGAGCGCTTCGGATGTTTTGTTCCGACAGGCTTTCCATACAAGGTTGCTTGGCCAGCTGACCATTCAATTCAACATCTAATTAATGGTGCAATCTCCCACTGCGATGAGGCACTTTCCCCTGCGCCCTCCGGCTTCTGGGGGTCGATTTTTAGCTTTCTAGCTCACGAATAACTGGGGAATTTCCCGCGGAGATTTGATCGGGATCGCTTCCGTACCAAGGGCATGCATGCTTCGGCTTTGTCCTTGGGCGCCCAACTTAACAACAGTGGCAACTCATTGCTATATTCATGCAATGGGGTTCTCTCTCCCTCTGGGGTGATGCATAGTGGCACAGTAACGTTCGGGACGCGAATCCGTCGTATCGCCCTCGGGTCCATTGCCTAGAGGAGAATTCCCCAAACCTGAATCAACTCCACCGCGACCCATTTACGAAGAGTTGTAGTAACACAATGCTGCACCTTAACAGGACATCCCTCGCGCGTTTCATTCGACGAGGGATGAGTTCACACATATTTAGTGAAGATAATGGCATTGCTTTCCCATCATTTCGCCATGGAAGCTTGCTTTGTTATTTACAGTGTATGAAGCCAAGTCTGTAACTTTGGCCATTGAGAATGATCACAGAGACAGGGCATCGCAACGGGGGACAGGGTCGAAGAGTCGGATCGCGGTTCCCGCAGTTTTGGCGCGAGGCTCCCAGACGCACGGGGGTTAGACACCACCTCTGCCCATTTATTTGGGTAGTCTCATTCTCATATGCTCACTATGCCACGCCCCTGCCCTTGTGTTCAGCAAACTATGGCGGATCGGTCAATAACGGACAAAAGCCTACCCCAAACATGTTCTCAGTGGGATCGACATTTCACCCTGCATGCCGGGGTAGCTCAGTTTTTGCAGGCAGAAACTATGAAAAGCAGGATCATGTCGAATATTCTTTGTTCCCATCATTACCTCTACCGCATTGTCGGTCACCCCAATTTGGTTCATCGGCCAATAGCATCTCTCCCGAGTTTGATAACCCCGGATCCTACTAGATCTTGCTCCCACGCAATGAAACAGTTTTTGCTATTACTTAAAGAGGACGGATACTCATGACCTAATAGCATAGAAATGCGTGCGCGCGCTTCTTCTCTCCTTCCTTGTTCGGTCTCCGCAACGACCCCATTACCGCGCTGTTTTTCTCCGGTAAAACAGCTCCAAGAATCTGGATAAAATGCCAGATATGTTGCAAGCCCCCATCACTTACTGGTCCCCCTCCCATCCTAACAATTCCTTGCGGCGAAAACTTAACACACAACAGCAGTGTTCTCACCCACTACCTTCTTGCTACGCGTCGTAAATTCACTGTATGTACTCAGGGCCTTTACCTTTACCTTCTATCGCCAAAACCCCTCCTAAGCCTCGTGCTAGGGGGGTCAACAACTCTCCTCACTCATCGTGTTCATAATCCTCAGACTCCTATCACCAAATTGCTCGCATGTCAAGAGATCCCTCTGGCCCGGATGACATGGTCCCTACACAGCATGAGGCAGGTATGGTTCTGGGTGGTTGGCCACTAAGCTAACCGTCAATTCGCATGCGGATAGGGATCGTCCACAGAAACTGAGGATACATGTTCTCAGACTAGAGAATTCACTGGAGATAGCAACGGCTCCAATAACAATCAGGCTGCAAACGCTGAGGTGGGTGATTGGACTACCCCCTTTCCGCTATGTCTTTGTTGCTGATCAATAACTACAACCCAGAACCATGCCCCCGCTTCTGCGGAGGACGGTCCAAACCCCGTCGGTCTGGACAACCCCAACAATCCTTCTGCAGGTTGGTGGTTGCCTTAACTCCATCGTCGCTCAACATCAGCATGATTCCTTGTACAGGGGACCACGGTGTGTTCTCACCACACCCAGTCGACCAAATCCCGCCCCCACAGGATCTGGTTCGACGAAGATGGAGTGGACGACTCGGAGTTTCCGGCGCACCCCATAGACCAAATCCCCATCGATGAACGTTTATTCGTGTCTTTGCGCTAGGGTTTTCTCGAGCTAGTCTTGTGCGTGACACGAGCCAGGTTCAAAAACGCCACGCTGGGACATCAATAGTTGATCTCAATGGAATAAAAGTCACGCGTGACGCCAAGTCTAGGTCTCGATATTCACATTTGCGAACAGCTGCCTTATGTACATATCACCGCATGCTCCTAGCGGTTCTTCTTAATGAGTTCCGCCCAACGCCTCACACAACTTTAGCCCCACGCTATACTTTTCAATTCGATCCGAAAGAAAAAGATGCGTCTTAACCCCGCCCTTTACGAAAAGGAAAAAGCGACCAAAAAACAAAGACCAGGAGCGGGGACACGGCCGCCGCCACAATCTCCCCAAATGAGGATCCGGATTGCCGTTGTGGAAAACCCTTAGGACTTCAGAAGCATCTTATCTGGAACAATCCCCGCCATGACCTCCTGGGCAGGGGACCCCGAGAGCGATGCTCTTAGTACTGCTAGCCGAGTTCTCGGCTGCCACGGGGCCATACGAGAGGCGAAGTGAGGATTTGTCAGACTGTCATTTGGGTTTTGATTGGATCACTCGACGTGAGTTCAGGTTGGGCCAGTTCTTGTTATTTGTTACGGGCAGCATGTAGCCTGAAAATCCACTGACATCCTGAGTAAGGCCAACAAATAAATGTATTCGGCTTCCTGCATTGTATGTCTGAAGCGCCTTCCACTTTCAAATCAAATATTCTTTCTTTTTGCCTTCTCTTACGCCTCTGAAGTTCTCTCCAAAGTGGGCATAGGCACTACCTGGTTCTTTCGGCTGTTTGCTGTTTCTGGGTATGCGCTGTAATGTTCCAGCAAGCTACTAGCCTATACAAAATATTTCAGTATGTGGCAATAGATCTGAGAATTGACTGATTACGAAACTTGTGTGGGTGCTCTTTCAATTGTGGCGTCTCCAGTTCCAGTTGTGATCCATCGAGTGCGAATATCAAAATCTCATATATTCCACACGTTCTGGTTCCCTCATAGTATGCATGCATCAACCCCGTATCGTCTTGGGGGAGATACCCCTATTCATGTTTCCGTGCTTAGCATTCTGTGCCACAACTCGGATAGGAATCAGCTTCATTAACTGCGCACCGGCTGTAAGGAGAGGCTATGTTCCCTTTGCGCCGCAACCCTCGTTGTCTCTGCGACGCCCGCCAACTGCTGCGAAGATGCTCCCCCGAACCAGTCAGGGCTTCATTTCGCTCGCACCGTCCGCATATAGATACATAAGGCGTGGTTCGACTCGTGACGCCGAGCTCGATGTAAGACCCCCCCTCAGTGTAGATATCAAAACCATCATAGATCATATCGGGTTTGTATGGGACCTGCACCGATGAATTCAACCGTTCTGTTTCTCTGCTGGGCCACTGGCAGCAGGCCAGTGACTATTGGGTCTGGCCAGCTCGCGGGAGTAACCAAGTCTCACGCCGCCAATACATACAACGCTAGCACCAAAATAGCATCGACAATTAGCCAGCACTTTACATATTGTGTCATGACAGCAAATGTCCATTAAATTTATTGGTGCTCTTCCGAATCTCGAAGCATCTTTGCGTGTGACCATTATGAATTTTCAACTGCTGATCATGCGGCATAAATTATTGAATATGTGCGCGGGAATTTGAACGTCATAAGTATGTACTGGAACAGTCGACTGCCCAACACACGGTTCTTCGACTTTGAAACTGTGACTGGCAAAACTAGAAACTGTAGCGCTTTGAGAGACAGCAGGCTGTGAATAAGCACATTCAACGTTGGCCACTGGTGCAATTTGTTAGTTGCTTGAGCGTTGACACGACGTTCTTGGTTGGCACGTTGATCGGCCTCATTCGCGCATGGTTGTTTGTGTGGGAGGATACTCGGAATGGATATTTTTGTGGGTGACAAATCGCGCAATAGGAAGGTAAGAACAGGCCTAGAAATGCCAGCGTTCTTTTTAGATCTTCTCCTTTCCTTCGTCCGCCCCATCACATTAATTCCCATATGGAGTCTAAGTTACTGGTAAGGCATCTAATCACGCATCCTTTTAAGGTCCCAGGCCATGGCACAAGCCAAACTTTAGAACTTTGAGACCGATAGGAAGCATGCCATTGGTACTCGATGCACGTTCATCGCCAACGGAGTTATCCAGCATATTATGTCCAGACGAGACCCTTTCCAATACAGTGGACGCCTTTTTTCCGAAAGTCTATTGTCAGAAACTGGTGGCCCAAATAAAGCCCAAATAAAGCCCAAAGTAAAACTTGATCTCCTGACGATAAGAATTGTGCCCACTCACACATCCGCACTGCATTCCCCCGATCAGCTCAACTTCCTGGAACAGATCAGGACGCGAATGGCAGCGACGAGGTGTTCGGGTGCGTCTGATGCACCGGCTACCAATTGTAATGTACTAAGTGACTGATTGCTGTATTACCCAACACCAAGCCAAAATACGACCTACTCCATAATAGGCACGCTGCACCTACTGTACTAACATGACCAACAACCTGTCACGCGTCACGCTGGCCTCGAGGTCCGGCTCAAATCAAGGTTTTGTCACGCGTCACGCTGGGAAAAAGGTTGAGTTAGTTGTGTCACGCTGTAAACCTGGTTTCAGGGTGGCTGTGCAAACTGTAATTCAAATTTCCCTTTTTCGGAAGTAAATACATTCAAAAAATGGCCATTTCCTTGTCCAAATGGCGCACCTGTCTGGCCCGCTTTCTGCGGCCAAAGTCACACTTCTGTGGGCTTGAGGGGGGTATCCTCAGCACAGGTTGATGCAACTTGTAAGGTGCCATCGCAGCCTAATCAGCCAGGATTCAGGCCCAATAGGCCTACTATGGGTAAAAACTACCTCTTAGGTAGGCTTAGCAAGGTGGCTTGGGATATTATTTCTGTATGAAATAGGTTCATTTGTGCAAGAACAAATTTGTTGTGCAAGCGCAAAACCATCCATATGTGATATCCGGGTGCAGGAAATTTTTCAGAAAGGTGCTCTAAGCACATTTTCAGATTCTTTTGCATTTAGTTACTTATTATGGCAATATCCGATAGTATTGCATTCCTTTTATGGTAAGTTCGCCGGTTGGGTGTCACGCATCAACATGAGCTGCCGGTTCAGTACTTTTTGTCACGCTCCGGATGCAACTGGTAGTTGGTCGTGTGAGTACAGTACACAGTGGCAGCCTGGAGCCTGTCACGCGTCATGCTGGCCTTGCGGTATGGCTCAAACGCAGCTTTTGTCACCCATCACCCTGGGTTTCCACCAGACGAATTGCGCCAGCACAATATGACAAGATTGAAAGATCGCGAAGAACACCGATTGACAGATGATCTAGTGATCTTACGAGCGCACTGATACTTTCACATAGGGCAGGACCCCAGCCTCTACTAGTATCACATAGGATGGGAATAATGTGGGGTTGTCAGCAGAGATTAATTGTGATCTGTAGTCACGGTCATACCCTTTCCAAAGTAAACACGGACGGGAGCCGCAAGCCTGCCGGCAGACTGCAGAAGCGTGACACGTGGCAGAAAACCTACAAAACCCCTCTGAGATTAGCACAAAAGGAAATATACACGTGATCATGGCCGAACAAAAAAATGAAGGGAATTGATTTAGAAACCAGCCAACGACCATTGCCTACATGTGACGTTATTATGTAATAAATATTCATTGCGTGCGGTCTCATCGTCCCCTCCTGTTATTCCCCAACCCAACCCAATTACCAAACTAAAATTATTAATTACCATTACAGCGCTTGTGTATTGTAGAACGTGCTCAGAATAGGGTTTGTTTAGTGCAATTAGTGTAGCATTGCTTATCGGTGTTATATATACATTAAAGTCATCCTCGTGCAATAACTGTGGCAAAAAAAAATCCACCAAGAATGAATCGAACGTGCACAAGCAGGGGGGAGACAGGGTCATAAACAGCGCTATAATCCACTAGACCAAGTAGACCTCACATGGATGTGGTCCTAAAAGTAATATATAAAGTGTTAATTTCAGCCACGGATCCGGGGTTGATCATGAAGTCAAAAGCCGCCCAATGTATGACATTGATCACCCCTTGGAATTGAAGTGTTTCATCTTAAATGTTTTCTAAGGGAGAAAAAAAGAAACACCATTCAGGACTCAAACCAAGATCCACCCCGACGCAGGATTGAAGGGAATCCGGCACCAGCCGCTAAGTCAAACCACCATCACTAGGGGTCTTGACCAAACCATATATATGTATAGTTAAACTGGCCTCACAATTCCCTCGCCCCCCTTCATCCACTATTTTTTTCTTACTGCATACAACTTTCTGTTCCCTTCCGTTAAATACCCCACAGTTATGAAGGCGCCCGGGCCCCTGCCCGTGCGTCTTCACGCTTGCATCCTATTCATTTCCTTCATTGTAATTGGCGGATTCAAAAAAAATATCATCATTTTCATATTTGTGTAAATTCATCAAACACGTGATTTTTTGCGCTCATCTCAGAGGGGTTTTGTATGTTCACTACACGTGGCGACCGGCATTTTCCTACCACGTGTGACGTGGATTTGAAATTAAAAAAATTGAAAATTGCACAACTGCAAATGAACAGCTTTACTCTTGCTCACCAGCACGTTGAACCTATGCCAATGACTAGTCCCCGCAGCCGCGAGGCCCCCAGGTTCAAGGGCAAGCCGATCATGAAGAGTTTGAATTGTTGGCTCACGCCACACTCCTCACAGGTGCAGAGACGCAAAGCTGGTCGTCGCCCAAGTCGGATTTGCTAAGCTTCTACAGTGCCGACGAAGAAGAGCCCGTTTATCGCAAGAAATATTTCCATAAGTGGGTGGAGAAGGACTGTAAGATCAAGTGCCTAGAGCATCTTGCGTATTGCCAGCGAAAGTTCCTGCATGTTTGGAAGTGAAGAACGTCCTTACCGCTTCAGGGAATGATGACTCATTCTACCAAGGATTCTCGTCTAAGTTCAGACGCGAACTCGGGCACGACCTCAAGGTCCAATGCCTGTGGTCTGATTCGACCCAGGGTCCTCATATGAGCGACGTTGTTGCTGTTGCACAAAAACTGGTCTGAGACGACTCATACGATGTCGACTTCAGTGTGAAGTCCGAGCCATTTCCATGCTCCAGAAAGGACAGTGATGACGAGCCAGTTGATGACTTGCGATCACGGAAGTGATAGCGCTAATTCGCATCAGATGGCAAAGCCTCAAGAGTTCCACACATAATTGTGTTCCCAGCGCAATCTGGAGTTCAGAGCGACCCTACGCCTGAGTTTGGCGCAGAAACGAGTTCCAAAGTTCCACACCTCCTAGCAGTTCAGGCAAGTAGGAAGACGCACTCAGAAACCATCCCCGAGGTTTTTCCGTTCCATGTCAGTATCTCATGCTATTACCGACCGTGCGTATGAAACCATCCCCTTACGCCTTAGCAGAAAACCAATCGCCGTACGAATCCGATAGGTCCGACGCCCAACTTTCGCATATTGTTGGTTTGTTGTTAAATAATAGTTTCCAGCGGCCAGTTAAACCACACCCCACTCTCTTCAGAACCCTACTCATCCTCTGAATCCCGGTCAAAACACGTCAGCGCACAAGACGAATCATTCACATGTTCCAGAGCCAAGAACATATCAGCGAACAAGAAGTCGAGGTCCTTCCCCTTCCCCATATTGTTTAAACCATAGTTGCCCATTCTGGGACATTTTCAAATCATAAGTGGAGAAGGGGGTGCCGTCTTCCGTCACACAGAACCCAATAATCAAGGGCGGGGTATGGAACAGAGAGAAGTGACCCAAGTAGGACGCTCGTTTACCCCCCCCCGACCGTGTTTCGTTACTTGCGCTGTTGCATAATTATTTTGCTCTTTACAGAAGTGACCCAGCGCATGCGAGCCAAACGATCAACTTGTCCAGAAACAACTCTAGTATGGCCAGCAGCATTCAATGCGACAACATCTCAATTCCAGAGACCTGGCACTGGTAATCATGTGTTTCCGGCACATTCATCTGATCAAGTCACTTTGCAGGGCGTGCCAGCAGTGGATCAGAATGAAAACATGCATCGAAACGAGTTCTTCATGATGGCGTATCCTGTAGATCGTGCATGGCACTAGTTGCACCGTAATGTGCAATCATGCGACTGTATACTGTTGCTTCTTGAATCAAGGGTGACTCATGTAGAATGACCATGTAGCCACTTTTGCGACTAGTGTAGCAAAAGCAGCGAGCACACCACGTGTCGCTGCGGATTGTAACAGTGTGAGCGCCCATCTTATCGAGGTTCGTTCGATCGAGAAAGGGAATCTCCTATTCAATTCCTGCACGCATCATCTTCAACATTCAATAATTTTTTAATTCAACCACGATTTTGTATTCACGGCTGATGGCCCACTACGTAGTACTTGAGCACAATACCATCAAAGGCAACGCCTATACAGTGAGGACCGGGTTGATGTTGGGCTTGGGTCTCCGCCGTCATTGAGAAGGAGCCTGATGGGTGTAGCGCAGGGGACGTCTGAGGAAGGCGCGTCGCTGGAGCCACCGATGATGAGCCTGAGGCCGCCGATGCGTCCGGGGCTGTCGACAGCACGAGGAAATGTTGTTGTTGGCGCGACTGATGGTCAGGCCAGTGGTGTTGGCAGCGCTTGAAGGCCCCACGGGTCGTCGTTCAATATGGTCGCGTGAAAGTCAGTTTACGCATCTCATCCGGAATGATGCCCTTGAGCTTTAAAAGACGGTCGTGCGGATACTTGAAGGAAGGGAGGGGGGATTTCAGGCCCAGCTCGGAGTCGAAACGTCCTGGTAGAAGATCATTGAGCGCTTTCATCGCCCTCCCTTCGCCTCGTCCAACGCGTCCTGGGCCTTCTGGCGCCCCTTGTCCGACTTCCGGGTCATCCCTTCGGCAGCCCTAGGACATCCCTCTTGATGCTTGCCTTGGCTCCAATCTTGGCCTGAGTCGATTCGAGGTACTTGGTGAACCCTGCATCGCCAAAGAGCGTGACGTTATGGCGGCGCCGGTTTTTATTCTTATGCTCGAAAGGGCTCGTTCCTGCTCTTGTCCGGCATGTTGGCGAAGCGGTGACAAGGAAGGACCTTCTTGGTACTTCCCGCCGTTGGCAAGAAAGCAACCGTCGGTTGCCCTCACCAGTGCAAGGCGTAGACTAGGTAGAGGGGGTGGAGTTGGAAGAGGAGCTTGGGACGTCTTGCAGCATTTGGAGGTCACGTCGAGGCCGACATTCAAATTGCACGAGAGACCGCGAAAACTCTTCGATGGGTACCCGATTCGGACAATGTCGGGGCTTCGTCCGCTTATCTGGCATGGATCTCGGGAGTTTAAGGTTATCTTCCCAGGCCTTCCGGGCGCGTGGGTTGCCCACGGCACGGAGAGTTCCTCGATCCTCCGGTCCGCTTCCACACGGTGGTGTTAGCGCAGGCTACGAAGTCCGGGGCAGAGCAGGACCCCGATCCGTCCGAACTGGATGATGGCCAGAGCTGGTGGGATGAAAGTACTAATACGGAAGAACGAGGCCTGAGCGCCGACCTCAACGCTCCTAAGCTTTGGTAGGGTATTTCCAATGGTGCTGGCGCAAGCTTCTCAGAATCCAGCACTATCCGCCATGGTAGGAGACGACAAAAGCCACCCTGACACTAGCAGTACCGATTCCCTGCGGCCCTATTCAATCCAGATTTGGACACCCCGCCACACGCGTCGAGCACAAAATGAACTTCCCCATGCGACCAAAAACTGAAGAGGAATCACAATAATTTGAATACCCTTTCAAGTTACATGTGATAGGCCCGTCACGCTGATCAACTCTAAGCGCCACAGTTCAGTGCTAAAAATCCCGATCGATCCTTCGCTTCTCTCTGAGTCCAATCAGTATAAAAGCTTCTATTTCCGGTTCAGAAGAAACAGGAAGGACGCACGGCACATGTGAAACTACCTCTGTACGCTCTCGGTTCAATATTAGGAGCATGACCAATTGCTCTACAGACCCAAGCGAGTAGATGTTGCAGAGACACGCAAAAAATGGCTGTAGCGACCACTTAGGCTACGTTTGCTGCGCTATTCTCTTCAGAACCATTCCCGCCTTCTGCTCCCGGTCAAATCCTCTCAGCACAGACAAATTCTCCGTACGCCTCAGACTGAAGAGCGCCATCCTCTTCTTCAGTGCCTCGCTGCATGCGAAAGACGTATCAGGCTACTATACTACTATCAGCGAGAAAGAGGTTTCCCATATTTTAGCCACTCTGCCCAAGCGACCAACAACAACTCTATGACCAGCGTTCGGGGACTCATTTGCACATCTCAATTCAAGAGGCTCAACCATGTGTTTCTGGCATATCCATTCGATCAAATCGCTTTGCAGGGCAAGGATCGAGATGAGGTCTTCACGCCCTATTGTAGATCAGATTGAAGTTGCATTTCGTGCATCGGACCACAATGGGATGGCATGTAGCCGTGCAGCGGCTTCCAGGAAGTTGCTTGAGCCTACGACTCGGAATCGATCCTTGGAAAGCATGAGCAGCTCATCTAGAATGACTTGACAATAGCAAAGCAGCGAGCAAGCCATGTGCCACTGAGGATTTCAGGTGTGGGCACCGTGAGCGGTTCGTTCCCACCGTGTTGAGGTCCCAAATTCCGAATCCGAGGCAGCCAAGGCACCGAACAGGTGCAGGATGTAGACCCTAGGACTGGCTGTAGAACAACTACCGGCGTCCCCCATCGATATCAATATTGTATCTCCATTGTGGGGATTGGGTTTCGCCATTCCACGTTGGGTGATAGAACTGATGGGGCAAGGAATGGACGGAGCGCAAGGAGACTTTCGTGAAGCTGACTTTCTAGTCGCTGAAGAAGCAAAGCGACGGGGATGAAAAGGCTCTTTCTTGCTCAATCATCGTCTGAACCTAATGGACCTCTGAATTATAATATTTAGGGATGGAACCTATAGGGGAATGACTTATCTATGAGTTTTTGACGCGCCAGTGGGCAACAAACTAGGCAGACGTTTCATCCCAACGCGTCATGACCGGGCTGTGGGCCAAGGACTTTGAATGAGACGGATATTGTGCTGCACAGCCACGTCCAGACTGAGGCGTTCCCTCGCAAACACATGGCTCCCAAACCATTGGTGGTTCACTCACTGCCAATATTCCAACTTTTGTCAGAGGGAGGTCATAGCAATGTCCTACTTAATCCCTGTGCTTTAGATTTCAGCGTACTATTCCCTTCAACTCTCCCTTGGACGCGGTGATTATCCCCACGCCAGGGAGCTATGTGGGGGTCGCGGCTCTTTACTCTTAGTGATGTTCATTACATGGATTCCGAGAAAGACACTCTTTGTCAATTTCCATTCAATCGACGTACTCTTGAACCAGCCAGGGCTTCATTCGGCTATTGACGCAACAATGAACTCGCCAATCTCACGTAAACGCGCCAAAGCAAATGGCTACACTTTGTTGAGTTGGTTAATACAAAACATCACCAGATGGTAGTTCGGTGCGCTCGCCCACAGTTACTAGCGGCGTGCCTGCCAGTGGTTGTCGAACGTCCAGCCAGAAAAGAAATGGAACGGCTGCCATTGGCAATTGCAGTGCTTATCTACTGCTGCATCAAGTGTGAGTCGAGCTACGCCTTATCTAGAACGATCTGCGAATGGAATGTTTATTGAACTCATTGCGGGTGCTTCTTCCGAACTGCGGATCATATGGTATAGATATGTCTGTGGAATCCCTGCATCGTGATGTAGGGGACCGGTTTTGGACCAATTGGCTATTTTCAACGCCACGGGTGCGCACACGATTTTTCAGCCGCGACTGGCAAGACTGGATATCATGTCGCGTATAGGCACAGCCAACACCAGCAAGTGAATTCTTTCGAATCGGTTGGTCTACTCAGCGTTGGCGTTTTCAACTTCCGTTGTAACACCGCGTGCATGACACGGACATGGTGATGAGGCATTCGATCGCGAAGCCGCGACACAAGCTGCTGCGGGGTAAATCACGCGGTAGTATATAAATAATGTAAGTGCAGGCCTAGAGGCGTGTTCTTTAGCTTTTCTCCCTTGCCTTTGCTTACCTCTCGTCAAATGACAGCAAATTAAAATTACCGTCCAATTGCTATCTGACGCACGTTCATCCCAAAGAGTCGGTGTATCATGTTCAGAGGAGACCCTTTTCCATTCTAATAAGTATCACTTTTGCAGCATTTGGCGACCCAAAGCGAAACTCAATTTCTTTGTATTAAGGACCAATCGTCCTTGCCTTATGTTAATGTTTCCCAGCGTGGTCCCACACACAATGCTGCAATGACACCTAATGACACGCTTGCACTGAATTCCGCCATTCAGTTCAACTTCCCAGAGTATACCAGGATGCGAACAGCACCAACGAGGTGCCTGGGTGCATCTGATACGCCAGCTCCCAATGGTACCTTTCTCGATGGCCCGTAGTGTACGGGTGGTTGCTCCGGGTGGGTCCTGCAGTTGAACTACCCCTATCACCTGTATCCAGCGGAAACGCGGCACTCAATTCCTGCTGAGAATCCCGCATTATCAGCGAAGTGGTTGCAATATTGGGAACAAATCAGTATCGATTGCATAGCCTGCGAGCCTACGAGCCTAGGCGAGCCGAAGTGAGGACATCTGCCAGGCCCATGTTCGGCGTTTTTCAGATCTGGCGACCCTGCTGTTATATTGCACTGGATGTGTTCTAGCCCGATTGCTTTCGGTCTAGGTGTGCGACAGGTGGAGCTGGTGGGGTGAGAATATACGGAAGCACGAGGCTGCCAATCTCATCGTTCCTATCGGGCACTTTAAATGGCGCGAGCGCAAGCTTCTCAAAGTCCAAGCACTATCCGTTATGGCAGGAGACGACAAAAGACAGGGCCCAACCATCCCAGATTTGGACGCACCGGCGCACCGAAGCCAATAATTTGCTATTTCTGCATGTGCCTGATCACGACTCAATTCAATGGTACAATGAATCCCGATCGATCTTCACTTTTCTTGGTCAGTCCAATCCGAGTTGTTGCCGACATTTTCTTTTTATTTGACGGAACGACATTGGCCAGAGATCCATCGCCAATCTGTCGCTGTCCCGGACCGCTGCTTTGCATTTACCAACTCTCCGCCCGTTTGGGCTTCTTGAATGTCCGGGGCTCTGTATTCACCAACAATAGATGTCAGAGAATGCGTCCTGGGAGGTTCTTCCGATGAAATCCAATAGTCCAGGCATTCATATGTACGGCAATTGATACATACTTCGTTTCACTCCAAGGACAGCAGTATTAAGGACACTGTAATGAAGCATAGATGCGATTACCACAAGGGGCAATTATCAGAGATTGTTCTGGTTCAGGATCTTCTGCTGCGAGCAATCTGTGATAGGGCGTTCCCATGCCAATTTTTTTGGCCCTCGGGGGCTCTTCTGCGGAGTTGGGATGAGCGCTTCGGATGTTTCGTTCCGGCAGGCTTTCCATATAAGGTTGCTTCATTCAATTAATGGTGCAATCTCCCATGTGAGGCACTTTCTCCTGTGCCCTCCGGCTTCTGGGAGGTCGGTTTTTAGCTTTCTAGTCCACGAATGACTGGGGGGTTTTTTCGCGGCGATTTGATCGGGATCACTTCCGCACTAAGGGCATGCATGCTTCAGCTTTGTCCTTTGGCATTCCTACATGCAACTCATTGCTATATTCGCTGGGGCCTTCCTATTCGGGGTCTGATGTCCCAAGAAATCAGATTCCTCTATCTTCCTTCCCTCGGGTTTGATGCATAGTGGCACAGTAACGTTCGGCGAGACACGAACCCGTCGTATCGCCGCATCAACTATGCTTCTGGAACTTGGGCCCATTGCCTTGAGGAGAATCCCCCAAACCTGAATCAACTCCACCGTGATCCATTTAGGAAGAGTTGTAGTGACACAGTGCTGCACCTTGACTTCGGGTTTTATTTAATTCACATATATTATATTAGTGAAGATAATGACTTTCATTTCGCCATGGAGGCTTGTCTGGGCATACTCTTTGTATATTTATAGTATATGAACCCAAGTCTCTAACTTTGGGCTATTGATGTTCAAATATTTCGGCATAGGGGTGACGGATTAGGTATGTTGTAAAATTTCGCCTTTTTCACCCTACTGAAAATGACCACAGAGACAGGGCATCGCAATGGGGAGCAGGGCCGAAGAGCCGAAGAGCCGAAGAGCCGAATCGCTGTTCCTGCAGTTTTGGTGCGAGGCTCCCGGACGCTCGGGGTTCAGACACCACCTCTACTCATTTATTTGGATAGTCCCATCTGCATATGCTCAAACTATGCCACGCCGTGTTATGGTGGATCGGTCAATTACGGACAGAAGCATTACCTATTCCGCATTGCCGGTCGTGCGTTCATGCCCCCCAGTTTGGTTCATCGGCCAATAGCAAATTATTACATCTCTCCCGAGTTTGATAACCCACTCCCACACAAAACAGTCTTCTTTGCTATTACTCAAAGAGGACATAGACCCATGACCTAATAGCATAGAAATGGGTACGCGCGCGCGCTTCTCTCCTTCCATGTT